ATTGGCTTTTTTTTTAAGCTTCAGGGGTACATTATAATATCCAATATATTATTCTGTTCTTCTCCTTTCCTATTTTCTACTGTTACAGGTTCGATCACAATAAGAGAAACTAATTCAGATGGTAATATCATAATCCTAAAAAGAGCTATGCCTATCTTTGAAGTCATACACACATGCACACATATACCCAAGGTCTTCTTTCATGTCAAATCATAGATCTATATCATAAATACATACATGGAAGAGAGAAAGAATCAAAAGGCCTACTTAAGTATAGATTTTTCTGCCTAGTTAGGGAAAATTGGGTATGTAGACTTTCCTAAGCCAGATTGTGGTTGGTTGAATCTGACTTACTGTGTTGTTTGAATCAAAGCTTTGTGGTTTGTACTCCATGGTTTATGGCTTAGTGTGTTGTGTGAATCCAGTCAGTTGTGGATTGGATCCTTGTTTCCTCCAGAACCAACGTTATCTGGGGTGGGAACCAAGAGGTATTTCTTCCTGGGCACAATTCCCTTGCTCAATGGCAACTTCCCAACCCCCAGGTTAGGATGGCTCCTTCCTTTCTAACTGTGTTTGTGTGTTTATTTTACCTGCCCAACACCAATGGGACATTTAATGAAACCAAGATTTTTTTTCTGTAGTTTTTGAAGCAGAAAGGGCAACATAATTGGGAACTATTATCTTGTAGCATCTGTTTTTTTAATATAGTTAGTTTAGCTTTTTCTAGTCTGATAATAGGTGTTATTTTTAAATGCATTGTTTTACTGTTTTTATTCCTATAAGCCACCTGGAATGATAGATGAAAAGGCATTGGAATGCACATAATCAATCTTTAAAATATGTCTGTCTTAATAACAGTAGCTTAGTGTGATCTTTGAGAAAGGCCAGTTTGTCCCTTCAAATACCAAGATAAAGAGGCGAGAGATCATATTTTCATTCCTAGCTTATGACCATAGTGTGAAACAGGATGGCAGAATAAATAGGCTATTGTTCTGATACAGTGTGACTCCTCTAATATTTTGAACTGACCTGATCTGTGCTCCCCAGACTAGAGTATAGATTGGAATTTAGCAGGCCAAGTGGACTCTGCATTTCTGCTGATGTTTTAGTCCACTTCTTATCTGAATATCTAAATGAATCAAAATACATTTATGTGCCCTGGTGATTATTAGCTACCAAATTTGCATTCCATTCCTCCAGTCATGTTCTCAATGTCATCTTTGATAACTTTGTATTTCTCCCCAATGTAAATTCTGATACTTCTATGTACATTTTATGGTCTCTTGGGTTTTTATTTATGATACTTCACTTGCTTTCACAATTCTTAAACAGATCAGCATAAAGGTAGTCCTTGACTTACAACCCATCAATTAACCATAACCAAGTTATGACAGACCCCCCCCCCCAAAGCTACTTACAACTGCCACACACTCCTGGCCACATGATCATATTTCAAGCTCTTGGCAACCAGATCACATTTATGATCGGTTACAATTGTCCCATAGTGAAATGATTAATTTGTTAAACTTTTTGCCAGTTTGGAATAATAGATTTGTGATTCATTTAACAACCATGTGATTTGCTTAACCACCATGATAATTCACTTTACAATTGTCATAAAAATGGGCATAAAGTGAAATCCAGTCACTTGATGCCTTAACATATGACTGCAATGACTTACAACTGAAATTCTAGGTTCCACTGTGGTCATAAATCAAGGATTAACTGTATGGACAGCTGTTGCTTGAACTTTTGCTGGATTCAAAAATATATTATTTTACTATTTATTGACTTTTGCAAACTGTATAGTAAGTTCTTGCTCAACCACTCTTCCAGCTGATTAGCAGATGTTTTTGGAAGAGATACAATATATCTCATATGATTATTTCCCAAACTATGCAGTGTCTTATGTTATGAAATAAGAAGTTAAAAGATTGAATTGGAATTGGTATTTGAATTGCTGAGCAATTACACCCTAGTCTGCAGCATTTTGTTGAAGTTCCCAGATGTCTTTTCTAATGTTTCTCCTGTTTTAAAACAAATTATTTATAAGAATGCTTTTTGACTTATCTTGGGAGATGAACATCTGTTTCTAAATAATTGATGACATCTGTATCATAAGCCAACAGTATATTTATGTCACCCTCATGTGATCACCCTCTATATTATGGGTGGTGTATGGAGAAATGAATGTTTAGACATGATTCTTGATAAAACATAGGATTATTGCATTGAAAGAGACTCTAGATAAACCAGCTTTCCCCAATGTGATATTCTCTTTTCAGTGAAATAGTGCAGAAAATCGTATACCAGATTTATAAGTAAATATATATTTCAAAATTTACATTGGCTGGATATGGCAGAAGACTGGCATATCACTGTTGACCTTTTTTGCAAAACTTTGTGGATTTTCATGTCTAAATGTTTGGCTGAATGTCTTGTATGTGTCTTCTTCAGAAGTATTTGTAGAGGAGAATCTATTGGGACCCACACACTCTTTGTAGCTTGAAGTGACAGCTGCTTTAGAAAAACTCTTGAAAGATTATTTGGCTAAATTTTGTCTCTACCTTTCTAAACCCAGTGAATTAAAAGAAAATGCTAACTCCTTGTATGTGCAAGAGTCAGGCTTAAAACACCTGTTGGAAATAATCTCATCCCAAACATTCTTATCAGTGCCCCCCACCTATAGTAAATACTGGTTGAATAAGACAATGAAAGGTTTTTGTTTTGGTTGGAGATAGGGTGGTTTTAAAAATAGCAAGTGAAACACTGAGACCTTGAAGCACCTTTCTTTGTCTGTTACGTTATTCAGTAGCAAGGCTGCTGATAGGGTGCTTCTTGCTTGAATTTGCATGTCATCAAATTTTCCAAATTCAGAATTGCCAGATTGCTTCCAGGGTCAGAGGTTCCACAATTCTGAACATCGTTTGCTAGAAGAAAAGGATGGAAGAGGGCTTACTGACTTCATGCCTTCCCATTGGCAGATAGATGGTCAGTGTGAAAGAAATGTGTCCTGCTTCCTACTGAAGCCTGATGTCAAATTACTTATGCCTAACTTATTTCTAGGATATGTTTAAATCTATTTTTTTTTTAAAAAAAACAAACCTATGGCAGTGGTGGCGAACCTATGGCATGCGTGCCAGAGGCGACACTCTGAGCCCTCTCTGTGGGCACGCGCGCCATGCCCCGGAGATGGCAACTGTGTTCTTCAACCAGCTGCCCGCTAACTCACCAAGGTCCCACGTGGCCAGATGCATCCCAGCACCCATGCACTTGCTGGCCTCTGTGTGCGGGGGCCAATGGTGTCAGGCAGCCTCTCCTTGCCCTGTGACATGCCACCCCTGCCCTACCTCGCCTTGCCTCGCCTCACCCCAAGAACCAGCCTCTTGCCCACCGCCCCACCCGCCAGAGACCCCTGGATCTCCCCCAACCCTGCCCGGCCCCCACAGGCATCCCTCCCCACAAGCACCATCGGGCTGGCCACGCCCACCCATCTTCCATAACCACTGTAACCACGCCCACCCAGTGGGCCATGCCCACCCGGCACCCAGCAATACATAAGTGGGTTTTGGGTTGAGGTTTGGGCACTCTAAAAGGTTCGCCATCACTGACCTGTGGCTTCTTAATTGTGATGATCTTCAATTAGGCCAGCAACTAAGGGCAGTCATCATCATATGAATGTAATGGAGCTCATTTAACCCAATTTTATTTTTTTTGCAGCGGTTGTTAAATGAACATAATGGCTGTTAAGTGAATCAATGGTTTGCTATGGGTTTTGCCAAAAAACGGAATGTTAGTTTTCAGCAAAACCATTGTAAAGCATAGTCATGTGACCCTGGGATGTTGCAAATGGCCATAATTGTGGCCACATTGTCAAGTGCCCGAAATTCAGTCACATGAACATGGACTGAATAGCCCAACTATTCCAACTTTGGATCCAAGTCATAAATCCCCTTTTCAGGTAGTCGTAACCAAGTGACAGTCATAAAGTCGAGGACTATCTGTCATTTTTAGTGATAGTCTCTGAACTCAGCTTGTACCATCCAGTCCTATTGATTTGTTAATTTGTAATTTGACAGATAGTTCTACAATTTCATTTCTTTAATTTGTGTTTCATATAGTTTGTTGTTTGTTGATTTCACAATTGCTGACTAAACTCTGTGATTTTAATAGGGCATATTTTATTTCTTTCACTTTTTATAAAATACCCAAGTGGGATAGAGGTGCTGCAGAATATATTATCCATAAAAGTCATAATTTCTTAGATCAGTGGTGGCAAACCTATGGCACACATGCCAGAGGCAACACTCAGAGTCCTCTCTGTTGGCAAACGCGCCACCGCCGCCAGCAGCAAGTCCATCAGGCCGCCAGTGCTGCCCAGAGCAGGAGCCCCACCCAGCACAAAGGAGGCGAAGCAGCCGACCAGCAAGCTCAAGTAGAGGTGGTAGAGCAGAGGTCACCAGCCATTGTCGATTGGTGGACTGGAAGAAAAGGGAGGGGAAAGCATTTTACATGCGTGCATGGGGCCGCAAGCACGCACACGCTGCAAATGGGGCAGGGCTAGTGCCTGCGTGATTCTCACTAGCCCTGCCATGTTCTTGTGTGGTACAGCGCCTTGTATCTGCAATTTGTGGCACAGTGGCAGCCATTTTTGCACCTTGCAGCATGGTGGCCCATTTTCGCGCCCTCGGATTTTGCGTGCCAGAGGCGGCACTCAGAGGCACCTCTCTGCCCCCTGAGGGCACCACAGTGCTGATGTGGCCCTGGCACTTTGTGATAAATAAGTGGGTTTTGGTTTGTGGTTTGGGCACTCGGTCTCTAAAAGGTTCACCATCACTGTCTTAGATGTATCAAGAGTAAGTGGAGATCAATGATAAAAGATTTAAACTAGTGTTAAAAGTATTGTTTTTAACCTTTTCTGTTTACAGTGCAAATGCTCTTGTCCAATGTACATGTTTGTAAGAAAAGAACTTCTCAATTCTCATTCCTTTTTGCTTCAGGTCTTGTTGGTCCCTAGACACTGGTGGCATTATGTGGAGTCCATTGACCCCATCACCGTTAGCGTTAATTCCTGGATTGAACTGGTACATTTCTTATAATTATTTCAATGATTTTAATCATTTTATCTGTTAAAATTGCCAGCTGCAAACCATATGGAGTATCATAACCTGCATATTCACAAACAATCCATTGATAGCATAAATTTTATTGGGTTAGTTTATAACAAAGATTCATAACAAAAAGATTGTTTAATTGGCAACTTTCCCACAATTTCATGCTAGAGTTTTTCTCCATAATGATCTTGGCAATTAAATGAGGAGCTCTTAGTATGGAAAGCATGTATGCTACTATCAAGCTACACTCTCAGCCATGACATCTGTCTACCTTATTGTCAATTAGTATTATGCATATGTAGGTACAATAATTGCAGAGCAGTTACTAGAATAACTTTTTCTTCCATCCCCCTCCCATTCGTTTTGGTTTCCCTAGCACTGAATCACTGAGGCCCACAAGAGGCCCATCCACTTATAACCTGTAACATACCACATACATAAATTATGCTACATAATTCAACATCTTGATTGCATAAATTTTAAATCAAAGTGATGTAGGTAGAAATGAGACCTGAAAGAATGATTTATAACAGACATAGACACGGTCTCTTCATCCATCTGACATCAAATATGTGGAGAGGAAATTGGAAAGAGGTATCATTGAAGCTTGATGGGATTAGAAATCCATTCCAGGCTCTGTTTTCTTGTGTAGTTGAAAATCCATTTAAATGTATTTCAACAAATTTGACAGATCTCAGAGCAGTTGTTTTTTTTTTTTAGTGCAGAGCCAATAAATCTACATCCTTTGATCAGGAGACAGATCATTTGCAGAGGATATGGAGGAGAAAATTTGAAACACTGTTATTAGATAAAGAGAGTGCCTTTATATTTTGTTGAGAAAGTAGATTGGTATGATCTCCTAATTGTAGGTTGTGGCTGAGTTGATATGTTAAGAAACTGTGTGTGGTAATACTGGGTATAATAGGGTGGGTAGCTAGTGGTTCTCCAGTGGTGTCTAATGATCTCCTAGCAGTTCCAGCCAGCATGAGCAGTAGGGAGGGATACTAGGAATTGTGGTACACCAATGGCCAGAACTCCTCCCATTCATATAGGATGTCTTATACATTATTTCCCCGCCTCACACCTCTCAATATAGCCCATATATTTAAGAGTAAAAAAGTAAGCAGGTACAATACATTCCAATTTTGCTTGCCAAAACCTCACAAACAATATAAGTTGAGCATGGAGATTGTTTAACTTGAGGAATGCTAGGACTACCCTTAGTTTGTGGTGACAGCTGATTATATCCTATTATCTCCAGAGATGATGGCAACATTCCTTTCTAGATGTAGGGTTATCCATCTTGGAAAAACAATACATGACATCGATGTTAAAAAGTAATATCAAGAACATTTCCATTATTCACTCAAGCAGTACTCTGGCTTATGGCAATAAGCAGCTGCTATCATATTGATATGATAAGTGAGTGCCATGCCAGTTTCAACTGCTCTACTGATACACTTAATTATTCTACTCATGCTTTACAATAAGAGGAACAGGGTTTAGTTTGCTTCTGACACATTGAGACCAAGCCAAAGTTTGCATTCTAAGATAAGTGATTAATATTATTCATGGGCTTCATCAGGCAGAATGAACTTTTCAGAGCTGCAGTACCCTGAAAGCCTGACAATTTTCATATGGCTAAGATAAGCTGCTCTAAATATGCATTATTTCAGATGCTAAAAGGTGAAGCTAAATGTTTCAGACTTAGCAAGCTGTGTTGTGATAAACTATATTAAAAGCCTGCAAGAGAAAGTTTCTTGTCCCTGAACGATACCAATTTTGTGGAATTACTGCTCTGTACAGTAATTCTATATATTCCTGACTATATGACTTAACTTGTGGTCATGAGAAAAACGAGCAGGAAGAAAAACTTCCCTAACTATTTATGCAGCAGCAATAACATTTGAAATAAAATGGTAAGACTTAATGCAATTCTAAATTCTACACGAGTTTCTTCTGAATCTCCAGAGCTAGGATTATCCAATGTATTAATGAGAGACTTAACAAAAAGAAACATTCTATCAAACCTCTAATATTGCACTATAGTACACTTTTTTGTGCCTCTGAATCAGTGTTGACTCTTAGTGACTGGCTGGACAATTGCTTGCAGTTTTCTTGGCAAGATTTCAGAAGTAATTTGCCCTTGCCTATTTCCTAGGGCTGAGAGAGGGAGAGAGCAAGTGGATCTCCTGATTTCAAGCCTGTTTCCTTAACCACTACAACAAACTGGCTCTTTGTAGTGCACTATGTTGCACTAATATAAAGGAGGTTTGTACTGCTTTAATTTGAGCTACTATCCATGGGTGAGAAGGATTGATATATCATCTGCATAGACTATTGCCCATACAGATCACAGAAGTGTGTTTGTACTAGGAAACAAGGTGCAAGTGCTTCTCTTGAATGTTTTCAAGCAATCCTATCACATGATATAAAGGTCAACTTCAAATGTAGGATGCTGAAGTCTGGTTGGATCTGAAGCAGAATTTTGCTTATCAGAAAGCTCTGTTAATTTGTAAATTATAACTTTGAATTCTTTCAGGCAGATATGAGTTATCTGATATAAATATGACATGGCATCATCAAAAATGCAACTGGCCTATTAGGTCTGCACAATGATGGCAATAGATGATAGGAGGAAAGGCAGAGAAAATAGGAAGAGAGAAAAGGGTGTTGTTATTGTTTTTTAAGAGTTTCTGTGGGAAAGTTGTAAGCTGCTGATCAAGAGCAAAAGTTGCATCTTGCTATCTCTTTGCTACATCCTCATTTTCATATTCAAGCAATCAAGCCTCACTTCTTCATTCTGCCTACAGGATTGTGGGGCACCGATACCATTTTATGCAATGACTTTGTTCCTTGTTGCCCCGGAACTGTCCCCAGCTCCAAGCAATTCAGCTAAACATGAAGGCTTTGCTTTCTTAGGCAGCTCATCTTGATGAAATCTAAATTAGTCTTTGTATTTCACCACCTAAAGGCACCCAAGAAAGACATGACACCTTGTAGCATGTAAGAATCAATTACAGAATTCCTGTTTCATCTTTAAAATACTATGCTGGTATCCTTCATTAAAGCCAACACTGCCTTTTTCATCCTTCTGTTGCTGTGTAAGACTGCAATAATACATTAGTGAGCTGGTGAAACTGCCAGATGACAGCAGGCTCCCTGAAATTTAGAATAATTTAGTAATAGCTCAAAGGGCATTTGTGTTCTCTTAGTAATTTGTGTGTGAAGGAGACAGTATGTGTATGTTTAAGAGCTTAAATCTTTGAGAGATAAAGTTTGGGACATGCCTTTTTGATCTTCCTAAATTAAAAATTCTATATATTAGATGATATCCCTCTGGTATAAATTAAAGTTCATAAATCTCAATTTAACAAGACACTAGTGCAATAGAACAACTGCCAATTAGGAAAAATTATATAATTGTTTGATCAGGCAGCTTTTATGGGCATTTTATGAAATTATGAAATCCCGGATAAAATAGCAAGGGATGTTAATTACCTTTTCTGCCTATTTTGGAAATCACAGATCCTTTTAACATGAGTGCTGTGATTTGTATAATACAAGACAGTATTCCAGAGCCTCTACAACTGCTAGATAAAGTTTTGATTCTTCAGAATATTAGAGAACCTTCATAATATGACTATAAAATGAAGCATACCTCCTCCCTACGTGCATACCCTACTATTTACACCAGTGTTTTTTCAAACTCGCCCCCTTTTAGATTTGTGGACTTCAGCTCCCAGAATTCCTCAACCAGTAAGGCTGGCTGGAGAATTCTGGTTGTTGAAGTCTACACATCTTAAAGGGGCCAAGTTTGAAAAAACACTGGTTTAGACCAATGCACAAAGGAATGGTCATAGCTTCAAAATACATTGGACTCAGCATATACAAATGTTCCTTCTCCTGCCAACCAAAGTCCTTTTCATTATTCAAAATATCCCATGTTTTCCTTTCTTTTTTTTTTATAGGATGCAGATCATGAAGCCCGCATAGAAGAGGCAATAACTCGAACAATGATATGTGCAATCAAGGCTGCAGAAAACCCCAGTGATACAGATTCTTGGCTCAACCCCACAGAGGTTTTCCTCTTCATTTTATCCTCTAAAGTTTTTGTGCATTTTTGCCTGAGTGATATTATTGTAAATTGCCAATCCCTGCCTCAGTTGTATGCAGCAAGGATTAGCATCTCCAGAGTGACTAAGCATGAATATCTCTGGCTGTTTCATTTGATCTTAAGTTTGGTACTAAGCCAGAAATGCAATATTGGTGCAGACTGAGTACCATATCCTTCTGTAAAATATGGATTTTGCTATTATCTCTTTTTGTACGCTATACACAATCAGTGGATTTAGCAATCTGAGAAAATATAAATGTTTTGGAGTTGTTAGATTGTTGGGGGGTAATGTTATAAATCTTGATACATTGCATGATTTCAATTCAGCAATGTTTGTGTAGTCCGATTTAAAAATTATTAACATTCTACTATTTAGAAAGCTTAAAATATTGAAAATAAAAGAATAGTAAACATTTTATCAATATTAATAGCCACTTAGGATGTCAGAGTTACAAACATAACTCTGTTATGTTTAACTTTTAAACTTTTAAGTTATTATTTAACTTTTCATCCAAAACTGAATATAACATACAGTAGTGGCCAAAATTGTGGAGACCTTTTGGGAAAAGGGTATTTTTGAGATCTGATGGCTAATAACACCACTTTTTTTTTTTTTGAGTAGTACCATAAATTTATATATCAATGGAAAGATAATTTAATCAAGAATGTAATGCAACAAAGTTTGTTCAATTATCTGTACTGTATTTTATGAAAAGTTATAGCCAAATAACCAGAAAAAGGAAGCACAACTTGCTTAGGTTGATATCAGGTAGCTTTTCTTCATCTGATTGTAGCCAATGAGCACGAGTGTTTAGAGAGCCAATCAGGTGTCATCTTGTTTTGGCAATGAGCCAATTAGATCACAGTAGGATTCAGTTATTGATGTTATGTATTGAAGCTGAGAGGAGGACATTTCAGTGTGTAATGTGATCGCTATCAAGTTGGTTGGGTTGTTTTGTGTTCTTTCATTTAGTGAGCTTGTAAAACGTAATAAAATTAAAGTAATGGTGCAAAGAGTTGACTGGTTGCCCAGAAAGTGATGTAAAATAGTATTATTAAGTGAACAAGGCTACAGTTATAAAGAAATTAGAAGAAAAGTTGGTGGAAACTTAACCAAAGGTGGCATTTCTACTGTACACTTTTCCCAAAAGGTTTCCACAATTTTGGCCACTACTATATAGAAGAACCACTGCAATTCACATCAAAATATTAGTTATTTGATAATAAGATTCAGCCATTAGCTCCTCCTCCTACAACAGGAAATGCAGTTTGTATGTTTGAGGATGCACTTTAATAAGTTCATATATTATTATGATGTTGCAGGATTTTGTGGGAAAAGAGCACTTGGCCAGGGAGAGCTTCAAACCACACACCATTCCCTTCTTATGGGCAACCCCATGCAAAATCAAACAAACATAGAGTTGGTATTTAGCTGTCTCCCTCTTTTCCTTCACTGGAATGGTTTGCTGTGGGTATGCATTTCCTTGGGAGCTGCTGTCATCCCATCTTAGTTAAATGGGGATGGAAATACCTTTGGGATGTGCCCAATATGTTCTTTAGTGCTCCCCCAGCTGCCTGTAATAGTTGAGTAAGAAGATTTATGCCTCAACCTTAGCATGGAGAATTCGCTTTTAGAGGGACAAATAATGTACATTAACTCAATTATACTTCCTGAGTTTTAAATGGGAAGGAGCTCCAAAGTTATATAGTGCCTTCAGGTGTCTGCCTAAAGCACGGGGATTTCTGGAAGTCTTTGACTACTTCATTTCAGTTTGTTCCAAGTACTTTTACATGCTGGTTCTTACATTTTGATACCTTTTATTCTCTGTGTATAATTTGGGGGTCTGTGAAGATTATTTTTTTTAACTGCTTTATTTTCTGAACCACTTTGAGTTCCTAATTTTTAAAAAAGCTGAGATATAAGTGCAATAAGTATTATATAAGATGTAATTCCTTGTGTGCCCAATCACACTTGGCCAATAAAAAAAGTTCTATTCTATTCTATTCTATTCTATTCTATTCTATTCTATTCTATTCTATTCTATTCTATTCCATTCCATTCCATTCCATTCCATTCCAAATAAAGATGTATGTTCAGCTGAACTCAGGGGATAAATTGGATTCTTTTCTCTCATGATCCCAGATATGCTTGATTGGATGGGAAGACCTCATGACATGGGATGTAGCACAAAATATTTTAAATGAAAGTAATACTGTGTGAATCTAAACTTAATACTTCTTTTAGGACAAGGGACAGATTTAGAGAGCATCCAGTTGTATATTTTCAGAAATAGGGGTCAACCATTCTTTCTTTGTTCCAATGTCTTTGAGTCTAGCACTGGGAATTTTTTTCAGGCTGCTTGAGACTTGCTCTAAAAAGTAACTTTAAAATTTTAATTAAAAACTTTAAAATTAAAAAAATTAAGACCTTATGATCTTAACATCTAACCCATTTTTTTTAATTAAAGTTTTTTTTTCTCCAGTTCTCATTTTTTTCTGCATCCTGCTTTGATGAAGAGTTTGGAGCAACTCAAATGCTGATATGATATTTTGATTGATCCCTATAAAACACAGCTTAACTGTGAATTTTACAAAAATACAAGGATGCTTTTTTCCACTCCCCCTAAAAGAAATAAATAGAAAGAATGCTAAGCCACTACAGCTTTTCAAATTCAAGGATGGTGAAGGTAAAAGAGTTAAAGCTGAGAAAGAAGCAGAGATAAATAAAATATATGTGTGTATTTGTGTGTGCATGGGCATGTATTTAAATCCTCACAAGACAAAGAACAAAGCAAATAAAAATAATGAGAATAGCTTCTGGGTGGGAACTGCTTCAAGAAATTCTTAACAGTCATGTAGATGTTAGCTTGAATTCTATTTTCTTTTTTTTCTAGGTTGAGGTAACATCCCATAATACCAACCTTGAGTATTTAAACAAAGCGGTGTCTTCCTATTTAGAACATCAGAAGACAAGTGTAATTAAGCACCAGGTCCCTCAAATGCACAGTACTGATGGAATTCTTCAAGAGTCATACAAGAGGAGGAAAGTACAGATCAATACAGAATCTGCGTGCATAAAATCTAAACCCTGTGACTCTAGCAGAACAGTAATTGAAACAGAAAAGCTGACAACAATTCCCTGTGGACAGAGCCTTTTTCAGGTTTTACCACAGTCCCAGGAAACTTATCCAACTGGAGTAGCTGAACGTGAAAGTGAGAGACATTTTGGAAAATTACATCCTTTTGGGAAGACATCTACGATGACTACTAATTCTGGGGCCCTCATGGAGGATCTAGAATGCGTGACCACTTCCCCACAAACTCTCATTTCTACAAATGATTTGCTAGATTGTGCACTGAACCCACAAGTCGTGGGTTTAATAGCTCGTCTTTTATTGGAGAAAGTGAATATTTCGAATCCATTGAAATAAAAAAAGCAAGGACAAAATGTTCTCTGGAAGCTCCTGAACTTTGGAGAACTAGTAAACAAGAATCGAAATGCATTTTAAAAAGTACAAATGTAGACTTCCAAATAATATAATGGTTAAGCCTGTGAAAGGTAACGGGGCAGATAATACATTAGGAGCATAATGGCATTATACACTGTAGCAATAGTTATAATAAACATTTCACCTAAAGGTTTATAGGCTTTTATAACACTGTATCATTTTAGGAACTTTTGAATAGATCTGTCAGGTTAATGGTTATTGTTCCGACATGTAGACATGGCTCCTGAATCAGAGAGAGAGATTAGTTTATCTAAAGCCAGTAATCCAATAGGTGATATTGGAAAAGTATTTCCAATCAGAAGTTCATGTTCTTACAGAATTAACTCAAAAGAAGTGGGGGACAGTTACGTCTACTTTTCAGCGATTAAGTGTTTTTCCTCCAGCCATCTAATTCCTACATGGCAAATGGACTCTAGTCTCCGAAAATCTGTGCTGTAATAAATGCATTTAATCTTTGCCATATACAGTATATCATCCATTCTTTTCCATCTAGTTCAGGGTTGTCAAACTGCTGGCCCATGGGCCAGACGCGTCAGAAGGAAACTGTGCCCCCCCCCCCCATTGCCAGCAATGGGGAAAGAGCTCCGATACGTCACACGACGTCCCGTGACATCGCGAATTTGACATGTCTGATCTAGTCCATGCAGAAAAAATGAACTTGGATGGGCAAACATTAGTTACAAAATAGCACATGCAAGGATGTGTTTTTAGATCAAGGTTCTTGATTACTGTGTTATGGTTTTCCATGGTAGTCATCTCCCAAACATACTTGCTTGTTGATTAAATTCCCTAAATAAAGCTGTCCTTTCTTAAACATGGACATTCCAACCATTTTCAATTCAGAACCATCCAGATATGTTGGACTACAAAATCCAGCATTCCCATTTGTAAAGAAGGCTGTAGTAATACTGTATGCTATGTGCCTATAAAAAAACATATCATTGTATTATTTACTGATTATTTTCTTTCTGCGGAAACTCCTCTTGATGGATTACAGCTTCACACAAACATATACTTGACAGATTTCTATCTTGCCTTTTAATCTGCTGATAATCATAAAATAATACTAATTTAAGACATAAAATAAAGGATCAATAAAATGCAAAGCAAAAAAAAGGCAAGTAGAATATCAACAAAATCCCTAAAATCTACCCCTAACCTCAGCAACGCTTTAATAGGTATGCACATATGCACAAAATGTATTCTTGTCTAATGTTTTGCTTCACCACTAGAATCTGCTTGGCTAGTATCTGCAAAACAACTTCCAATTAGTAAATGCACAAAGCACCTGTCTAAGATGTAAACACAAGCTTAGGTTTCCCATCTATATACTCCAAGACTTCCCCTTTGGGTTACTGCCTTGAGCACTGAAAATCTGAAAACTCTTCCCAAAACTGTGGATTAAACCCATTGATTTATAACTACCATACATTGTTGGAGAAAGGAAGTGAAAATCAATAGGCAGAAGAGATCAAGATATATTTTCATTGCCTGTGCCTACAGCAAAGATTTGTTCCCAAGCCACTATGATTGTTCTAAAATACGAAGATTGATGCCCACTGAGTTGTTATGAGCTGTTTTCCTTTCAGTACTAACCAACTGAACAGTGTTTTCAGTAGCATTACCAAACAGGGCTATTCAAAAATGGATGTAGTCCTTTTGTTGCAGTGCTGATCCTGTCAATTGTTCAGTAAAGTCATTCAAAGCACCTGATTACAATCCAATATATAATTAGACTTCCAAATCAGTTAATCATGGTTTAACTTTATTGGAATACCTGGAAACATATCTCAGGAAAGAATTTCACTCAGGTAGTCAAAAAAGATTTTAGCTCAGCTTTGTTCCCCTTTTAAAAAAGTGATGCTTTGCTTGGTGCTAAATTTAAACTAAGATCCCAATTTAAAATAAATTCTGACAATCTTAACAAGCCAGATTTCACCAATGGATCGTGAAGTTGTCTTCTAAGGCTAACCCAGGAGTCAGCAACTTTTTCAAATCATGGACTATTAATGGCCTCAGAAGGTTGCTGCATAAGCTAAGTGCCTACTGTGCTCTTTAATTTTTTAAATATCAATAAAACCAAATCTAAAGTGTCAAATATATAAGATAAATGGTGAGCCTATTGAATGTGAGTTCTTTTACCTATGCAGGAATGGTTTTTACCAGCACTGGGTCATGGTTAAATCGTTTGAAAAGAAGCCCAGCAAGGGCTGAGGTAAGTTTTAAATATTATACAAATTATTTAACTACAGTTACCCAGGTACCTCAACCACTATAATGAAAGTATTTGGGACAAAATTAACCTCAATGATGACCTACTGTATGGTTCAGAATTGTGTGGCCTTAATAAAGCTATCCCACTTAAACAAGTTCAGACCCATTTTTTAAGATGCATACTGGGAACTGCCATTGTGATTAGAGCAGAAATAGGTATCTACTCCTTACTTAGTCATTTAATAATTAAATTTTGTACATACTGGCAGAGGATCCATACAATAGACCTTGACAGACGTCCCAAAATATGCTTAACAGATAAGGATGACCCAACTCCTGGGTCAGCTAACTTTCTAAAATCATTTCACAACATAGGTTTTCTACCCAACATCTACTCAAAGGCCTCCCAGATATGGGAAATGTTTGAAACAAAGAGTCCTAGATATTAGTGCTCAAACTGACATAGAATTATTGACTCAAAAATAGATCCCTAGGTTGGTTGCCTAAGAAAATTATTTTTCAGCCTGAAAAATACCTGTCATTGAGTCTGACACATATTGTAAGAAAGATCTCTTCTAAAGCAAGATGTGAATTGTCCATGGTCAAACATGGGTGCTTTCACCACTTGCCATATACCAGAGGTAGGCAACCTTGGCTCTTTTATGACTTGTGGACTTCAACCCCCAGAATCATAAAAGAGCCAAGGTTGCCTACCCCTGCCATATACAGGAGAGAACCTGCATATGTGGTACCTGAGCCATTGAAAACGCTTCTCATATTATGTTTAACAGTCAATTATATGCCCCCACTAGGCTTAAATGCTTATCATCCCTAATGGAAAGAATAGCCCACTAGCATTTCAACCACAGTTTTCCCTATTTCCTCCTGGGCTCAAATGGACATAGAACTGCTAAGTATATAACTAAGAATCTGATACATTGAACAAATTGGGGTACCCTGTAAGGGAGATTCATTTATCTGATTACTGACTCTTTATATTGCCACATACAATATGTATTTGATCACTAGTTCCTCCTATCTCTTTTATTTCAGAAATAAACTATGCACTGTATTTTTATTTTATTTTATTGATAAGGTCGCAACACTAATCATTCAGTAAACTACTACTACTTTCATTAGTACCCAGCACACCAAATATTTATAGACTTACTGAGTGAGTATTCTGATACATCTTTTATATATTTTTCTTTTTAAGGGAGGAAAATATTTTCTTAATGGATTTTTCTCCACAAACCTCAACAGCAGCTATTGCTGCTACTTCTGCTTCACTTCTTCTTTTTCTTTATTAATGATTGAATACTCAAAGTTGCTGAAGTTTAACCATTATTCCCATTTTGGCATTCAACTTAATGTGTTTATTTGATTTATCTACAAGTGATCAGCCCATGACCAAAACCCTGTGGCCTTCCAGATGTTCTATACTATTCTCACCACCTCCATCCTGCACAGCCAATGGTGAAGTCTGCTGGGAGCGGTTGTTTACAACATCTGGAAAGCCACAAGTACTCCCGCTTTATCTAAGATTATTTGTTTTTTTTATTCTTTTAAAATAAATTAGTTTCATATGCACAACCACAACCACAATTATCATGATTTAAGAAATATTAATCCTAATCATTAAATATTAATCCTTCCATTTAAAAAATGCTTCTTCCTAATATTCAAATGAGTCATTATGCTCCTGAGGTTAAACTTGGAACCATTTCAGATGAAGATTTTGACAATACCTTTCCACAAAGCATCCTTTTGATCTTTTTTAAAGAACCACCTCAGTTATGAGTTTAAATTAGGCTAAATTAAACTTAATTGTTTAAATTGTTACTTAATCATTATCCAGCATCTACAGATTATCCAACAAATGCAAGGTTGATCCAAAACGGTTGCTGCGTAATGCAAAGGGCACCTAAACTTGCAACTGAACTCATCCATTTGAACCCCTCAGTACTGAAGCAGCAAAGCAGAAATCTGGTCTTGTTTGTGACCACTTTCCATATTTTTAAAAAGGGGATGTCCTATCACAGTGATGGCGAACCTTTTAGAGACCGAGTGCCCAAGCTGCAACCCAAAACCTCTTATGTATCGTCGGGTGCCGGGTAGGCATGGCCCATTGGGCCAGTGTGGCCAATTGGGTGGGTGGGGCCTATAGGTGGGCATGGCCTTTAGGGTGGGCGTGGCTGCGGTGGTAACGGCAGACTGGTGGGACTAAAAAGTTCAATCAATGAATTCCAACTTTGCGAGATCTTTTTTTTTCCTGCGAGAAGTTGAAATTGATTGAACCTTTTTTTTTTGCACGCGGCAGCAGAGGCTTAAAACGAAAAGGTTTTATAAAACCCAGCTGAAGGCCTAGGACTGGGATGATGGTGCACGTGCCCCCAGAGAGGGCTCTGCGTGCCATCTGTGGCACGCGTACCAAAGGTTCGCCACCACGATCCTATCATGTTTTAATTTTTCTCTTGGATAAACAGATGCATATCCTTCAATCTTTTTCTTACGGGAACGAAAGCACGTTCACATGAACTCTCAGAAAATTGTTTGCTTTTTCCCTCAAGTAGTTTCACAAATTGTTTGCTTTTTCCCTCAAGTAGTTTCACAAATTCTTCTAGCATGCTATTTAGCTTCCAAATGGCTATTTGAATATTTTGAGTCTAATGGATTTTGTATAGGCTGAATTGAAATGGATTCTAAAAGGTCCTTTAGTAGTAAACTATTTTCCATTTTGATAATGATATGGCTTCGTAGCTCATAGAAGATTGGTATGAATTTTCAACCAGAAAAAAAAGATTAACTGAAATATTTCAAATGCATGCCAATATAATGGTTATTAGCAACGGCAAAGGGAAAAGGTTAAACTGATTGCTTACTTAGAAAAGTGGAAAGAGAGAGATTGAGAGATCCACAAGAGCAATGTTGTTTAGATATTTTATATCTAAATATATGATAAGAATTCTTGGCATAGCATAAGAATGATGAGTTTCAGTCCAAGCATATGAAGTAATAGCCATGTGCTCCTGCACATCTTTCCACTACTTCCCACCCAAGAACAGTAGATACACATCTATTACAGTGCTGGCTAGGTTGGATAGATTTGTTTGTCTGTCAATTTAGTGTGTATACACACATACACAGCCCAATCACAAGCCATAAAATAACAGCCCAATCATAGGAGTCAACAAAGGGAAAATAATTTAAAACCTTACCTCTCAGAATGGCAGAGATTTTGTTCTGAA